AACTTAATAAAACTTAAATTAAATACTAAAGTAATAGAAATATGTTGTAAAGTAAATACTAAGATTAGAATAAATTCTACAAAGACATAGTAATTTAATAATAAGTTCTAATTGCAAATGTTAGTTTTGACTATAACATTATCAAGTTAATTGTAAAAATAAAATACAAAAGATTCTGAAAGATTTAGTACAAGATCAAAAGTTCTTTATATAAGTGAATTGTATTAAAGACTTAGTGACCATGGCATATTTTTATCAGTATTAATTAGTATAATTAATAGATGGAAGTAGATGGGTAAATATAAGAACTAGTATAAAACCTTTAGATAGATTACTTAAATTAGACAATAATTAAAATTGTATAAGTAACTAATATTACTATAAAAGTTAAATCTTAAAAGACTCTTAAACTTAGAAGAACTGAATAAGAACTAAATATTAAAACAAAATACCAATACTAATTAGAAAAAATATATATATTAGTTATATATATTAGAAATAAATTATAATATTATTAAACTATCTAAATTGAAAATTTAAAAATACTAAATAAAAATAATAAGTAAAAAAAACATGCTATAAATAGGTACTAAGATCTCAATTAAAAATTAACCATAATGTAATATAATAGTTGAATAAGTAAAATTACATTTATATTCACTAAAAAACCCCAATAATATAACTTCTATTAAATTCTATATAATCCATCTACTTATAAAACCACTATTTTTACTTTATTGTTCTCGAAAAATTTTTAATAGTAAACAGCACTGTTCACAAACTTATAATCATGTTCTTATAAAAACTCTGAGAACACTAATTTCGATTATTGCTCCGGAATATCTAACAGCATCTGTTTTCCTAGTGGTTTAGATCATTGTTTGTTTGTTTAGAGGGTCGACTGCGTCATTACATATTATATTTATGCTTTTATTGACCTTTATAATTCCGGAAATTTTAAAGATCTATTATTAAATTTTGAAAATTTATTTAGGTCAAAATTATTAGAGTAAGAGCTAACATTTGTATAAAGATAATTTGATGCATTAACGACAATATTGAATAAAATGACAAATCATAAACGTGCTTGATGAAAGAAATACTCGGAAAAATAATTATGAAAAATGTCATCAGTAAAATATGTAAGATCCAAATTATTGACAAGCTATTAACTTTTTCATTTAATTTCTTTAATGTCTGTCTTGTCATCAGTTATTATTTCCATATCATCATTTTTTTGTTCTTGTTCAATCTTTTGTTTTTTCGCTACTTTAAGTTCATCAAGTTCATTTGTTAGTTTTTGAATAAGTTCGTCCTTTTCTTTTGACTGTTGATGAAGCTCAACAATATGATCATGCGCTATTATCATAAAGATTTAATAAATAATTTACAAGAATAAAAGTATTGCATTTCGCCGGAATATAAATTAACTCACCTCGCTTTAGCAAAAGTAGTTTGGAAACATTTTTAAGTGATCCATTATCATCACAACTTTTGACTTTCGTGGCGTTACGATCATTTCCACTACCGTTTTTGTTGCTATTTCCTTTAGTAATATTACTTGTAACGGAATATAATGGAACTACTTTTTTTAATTCATCGAAGCTTTGTTTTAATGAATCTCTACGTTTTTGCTCTGCTGCCTTATGTGTCGTACGTCGAGACTCTAGACTTGAGTGTACGTCAGACGAATATGATATACCGAGGGATCTTTTTGTAATTTAAAAAAGATTTCAATTAATGATTGTTCTACATGAAATTATTAACAAATGTTAAGATAATCCTACTTTGACGTTCCCTCCAAAATGTTTTTATAATTTGATTGACTTGCTAATTTTTCTGCCACTTCGTCAGCCAGCACACCTGGCAATTTTGGTTTCAGGCTTGGGCTTATTGTAGGTTTCAGCGTTTGAGGACTCTTTGAAGGATTAAGTGTGGATGGGGAACAAACAGTTTGAATTGTATGAACAATTTTTCTTCCAGACGAAGATGGTAAAATCATTGGTGACATTGTCATAGGATTCATTCTTGGAGATATTGGTGACACAGTTGGTGATATTACCAACATACGTTGCGAGCCAGAAGTTGTGACCCTTGATCTTGGTGCTACAAAAGTAGGTTGTTCTGTATCTTTATTGAAGGTCTGCTTATTTTGTATTTGTCCTTGTTGAGTGTTAAATATTTGATCATCTTGCATAGAATTCAGAGTAGGATTCGGACTAGAAGATTGTTGCTTATTTAATTTCATAAGAGAAGACGGTGTTATTGGAGCGATATTACCATTAAAGGAAGGGGATGAAAAATGTGATGAAGGTTGTGTCTGCGTTTCTTCAGACACGAGATTACTGCCAAGATTCAAGTTTGGCATAGGTTCTTGCATGACTATTGATGAAGCCAAAGACATATTCACATTGGGCATCATGGATGGGGAACCCGTCATGATAGTTGGCAGCTTATTTACATTGTTCTTTGTGCTATTACTATTTTGGACATTGTTGTTATCGGGACTAGAATTATTTCCTGGTATTTGTGTCATAGAATTATTTACACCTGGCTTATGTAATGGTGAATAGTGCTGATTATTAGAAATTTGATTATAAGTAGAACTTGATTTCTGATCGTGTTGCCTTGTCATAGATTGATCGGGTTGTAGGATTGGTGAAATTAGAGGTGATGATAAATAACTATAGTCCAAAAAAAACTACAAATGTTTTAAAAATGAGTAATGTTAAAACGGCCGAATACAATTTTAAAAAAGGAAAGTTTATCCAACCAACCTCATCTTCACGAAAAGTACCTTCCACAGAATTTGGTAACATAGGATAAGGTGACATAATGATTGATTCTGAGCAAGCATTATGGTCAGAACCATTAGGCGTAGGCAACATATCGTTTGATAATGTAAAATTTGGAATAGGTTGATAACCATCGGTTCCAGAAGTATTTTTACCATTGACATTTTGTTGTCTTGGAGTATCCATAAATATACTATTTATATCATTATACTCGAACTGAAGGTTAATGTCATTAGAGCTAGGGTTAATGTCATTTGTATTAAAATTTGAGAACGTATCCATTATATATATATATGTGTGTAAGAAAAAAAAAAAAGCAAAAAAAAGTAATGATTCTTTGTCAGCTATACAGACTGACGAATGGAGAAATTAAAAAAAAAAAGAAAACAAGAACAAAACCGGGAAACTTTTTTTTTTTTCCTACGATGGAAAAGTCATAAAGAGATTTCAGAATGGATCAATTAAATCAAGTTTTTAATTTTGACATAACGTTACACTACCATAAAAGGCATGTCATTTGAAAGGTTTTGGGAAGATCCAATGAGCAACTACCACGTTAGTTGGGATGAAATATATTGAAAAGAGAAAAACAAATATGCAGTCGCAAATAATCGAGGTTTCCTTCGAAAAGAAATTTAGAGATCTTGCCCAAAAGGTGTTATCGTTCTTTGTTTATACACAGTCGGCTGACTTTTAACTTCTCCGCTTATAAGTTCCGTAATGACGGATCACACAGTCCGCCAGAGACATGGCATACAAGTTATGGAGGAATCACCTAATTCCATACAAGACGCGCAAATTGTAGACGAAAAGAAGACTGTAATTTCTTTTTTGTTCCCAGCTTTAGCATCCAAGTATTGAAAAAATAAGAACCTATAAAATGTATTCTTTTTTTTTAGATCGGGCAAATTAATAAAGATCAAAAAAAGAAAATGGTCTCGAACAGTGCTTTGGCAATCCTCACGATCATGTCGCTCATAACCCGCTTTTGGATGATACAACACCCGCAGCAAGTCGTGTAAGCTTTTGGATCATTTAACGTCTAATTCATTCATTTAAATAATAAATTAATCATTTGATCTAAAAAGTTTTGACGAAGTCCATTTTGGTAAATTCGCGAGCTATTATATAAGACGAACTTATTATTTTGATGTTCATCCTCCTCTTGCAAAACTCATGTTCGCGGCATTGGGCTGGTTGATGGGTTATGACGGTCATTTTGAATTTGATAATATTGGGGATGATTATATAGTGAATAATGTTCCCTATATCGGATTTAGATTGTTGCCCGCCACGCTTGGCGCACTCCTTGTTCCTCTAACATACATGATCATTATTGAATCCGGGTATCCAGTCATAACTGCGATTCTTGCTGCTGGCTTAGTGTTATTTGGTAGATAAAACATTTTCACACGTTTGAATGATGCTAAGGGAAAACCAGACTTCAGACTTTCAAATTTATTATTGATTATTTACCAGACTCAGCCCCGATCAGAGATATATATACGATACGAAGTAAATTTAATTACGCACCATATATGTCGCTGATCAGGCTGAGTTCGATAAATAATGAATAATAAACTTGAAAGCCAGAATTCTGGTTTTTCCTCATCACCTCGATTTTGATCAAAAATTGAAACTCATCAAACTCATCATTATTTATTCAAAAGATAATTCACTAGTTTGTCAGACACGATTGATTCTTCTCGACTCAATGCTTGTTTTCTTTATGCTTTGCACTTTTTATTGTTATATTCGATTTTATAAATATCGTTTAAGGTAATTTATCTGGAGATATTATACATGCAATTTTAACGAGAAAATATATGTGTTGTGCGTCAAATTAAAATTTGTGTCAGGCCAAAATTTAAATACTGAGTTCATTAGGGTTAGGGTCAAAACTTATATTAGGGTGAGAATAGGCATCAGCGGGGTTTAATCTGATGTAGATATTAGTTTGACGCAGTTTTAACGTTATTATTACTATTATTATTTATGTGTATTTTATTTAATGAACTAATATTAGAGAATTTTCGAACGAGTGGTGGTTTTGGATGGTTGCATCCGGAGTCACTCTTGGTTTAACATTAAGGTAAATACAGTTGTACGCGTTTTAAAATATTACATCGTAAAACATGTAATCACATAATTTAACTTATTCAAAGTGTAAAATTGGTTGGCCTATTTACTGTTCTTACTATCGGAATGGCGGTAATAGTTGACTTGTGGAATTTGTTGGATATAAAACGTGGACTGACAATAGTATGTATTGTCTTAATATAATATATTCATTTGTCTAACGAGCGTTGAATATAGACATTCTCATTATCTGACGTGAATTTTCATTAATCGTAGGAACATTTCAGAAAACATTTCTATGCGCGTGTTGTTGGTTTCATCATTGTACCAATTGGCGTTTATTTGTTTTGGTTTTACATTCATTTTGCCATATTAAATACAAGCGGTCCTGGTGACTCGTTTATGAGTCCAGCATTCCAAGAAACGCTCCAAGGAAATGTGATGGCGCTTGAAAGTCTTGGTAAAGCCATTCACACTTAAATAGTAAATATTTTTCGTATTGTAAACTCATATATCTCACATCTTGAAATTTTATCGTTTCAGACATAAGATTTAATGATACGATTACTTTAAAGCACAAAGGTACTTCGGTCTTTTTACATTCTCATTCCCAACGTTATCCTCTTCGATATACTGACGGACGTATTAGTAGCCAAGGTAAGACAGCTATTTATGGATTAAAAGATAAATACTTGGTATTGGTCAATAAATACTTTGTTTGCAGGGCAACAAGTTACCGGTTATAAATTTGAGGATGCCAACAATCATTGGAGAATTAAACCTGCAAAAGTTTTTATGGATCCTTCACGGTCAGAAGACGATTTGGTGAAACATGGAGATTATATATTACTTGAACACGTCAATTCACAGTCTCATTTACTTACTCATGATGTGGCTTCACCTTTGATGCCAACCAATCAAGAATTCACGACCATACCAGTAGATGATGATTCCCGTTATAACGAGACCATTTTTCAAGTTTTAATAGATGATGGTGATTCAGATACAGTATGGAAAACAAAGTCTAGTTATATACGATTGATTCATTTTGATACAAAAGTGGCATTGTGGACGCACGAGAAAGCGTTACCAGAGTGGGGCTTTAAACAGCAGGAAATTAATGGAAACAAGAATAATGTAGAAAAGAGTAATATTTGGTTTGCGGATAAAATTATTGGAAAGAATGGTTGGTATTTTGGCTTGTAATATTTTTTTAGTTATTATCATATTGTACCTTATTAATGACATTCATTTTACTTAAATTTAAGTGACAAAGCCTTTGGTTCCAGAACCTCCAAAAAGACATCTTTCCTTTTTTACAAAATTTTTTGAATTGCAACGCCTTATGCTCAGTCATAATTCAGGGTTGACGAAACCACACCCTTATTCCTCTTCACCAATCAATTGGCCATTTTTAGTACGGGGTATTTCTTTTTGGACGAATAACGACGATAGGCAACAGATATATTTGATAGGAAACCCCTTTTCCTGGTGGTTATCTGTTGGCGCTATGGCCGTTTTGGTTGGTGTTATATCCGCAGATATTATCTCTAGACGGCGTGCTATTCATCCGATTTCTGACCGTGAGTTGTTTTGTAGTTTTTCTTTTGTAATAATTTGCTTATGACATAACATAATATTATATATGTTTCCTTACATTCAATTGCTCTTTAGCTGTTCGTAATCGTCTATATAATTCTGGTCTATTCTTTTTTATGGCATGGTTTTTACATTATGCACCATTTTTCTTAATGGGTCGATCTCTGTTTCTTCATCATTACCTTCCCGCAGTAATCTGTAGTTATCTAGTTGCAGCAATAGTTTTTAATTTTATGTTTGTAGATCATGTAAACTATCCAATTTCAGTCGCTGATTCGAGGCGGAGACCTCGGATCATGGCACGTGTTAAAAATATAACAGTATTTACTTGTATTATATTATTAATTGTATCTGCATGCGTATTTTATTATTTTTCACCTCTTACTTATGGTACTCCCGGGATAGATCCGGCGGGCATAAAAGGTAGAATGTGGCTAGATAGTTGGGATTTACATTTTCAGCCGAAAAGGAATGAGGTCTGATTAATCGAATATAATATCAATGTAGCTTAATTATTCATCGCATAGATTTTTTTTTTTAACAATTTTAAATAGATTTTTATGTATTACACAACGCAATTTAAATAAATTATTATTATTTTAATTAAAAAGATATGTATCATATCCGAGTGACAGAAGAGAAAATCTGTAGATTATACTTGACTATTTTTAATAAAAATATTTTAAAATCCAGTAACTTAACAATTATTATTTTAATATCATTTAAATCTGTTTAATGAGTTGATTTAAAATTTTAAGCATTAAGACATTTCTATTAAAAGTAAAGATGGTTGAGTACGTACGTACGTAGTGGTGAATGATTATACATAAAAAGTTACTATATTGTCTCGAAATAACGCCCCGGGTGTAGGTTAAAAATTTAGCCCGAATTAATAGTAATTCGGCCTAGATTAAGCTTAATTCTGGCCAAGGTTTTAACCTACACCTCGAGGCGTTATTTCGATAGAATAATGTTAATAATTAATCCGAGATATTCATTTATATTCATATTTAGTTGTGAAAGCAGATCAAATTTTCAATGTCAAATTCTGACGACGATAACGATAATATTCCAGGAACAACGGCTGTTCGGTAATAAATTTATTAATTCAAATTAATTCGTCCGTCATTCGTATTAATTGATCATTTTAATTAATTGGAATTATCTTTTCTAAAGGCTTCAGATAAATGTTTCAAAACTTGAACGATATCTCGTTTTGAGAATATCAGGCTTCAAAACTCCTTTAAAAATTCGACAATTTAAAAATGGACAAAGTAATCCTACGTATCTCTTAATTGATGCTAAGTAATATTTCAATTTTATTTTTTTATTTATTTCATTTTCATGAGAAAATTAAATAATTTATTACAATAGTAAAAAATATTATGTGCTTCGGAAGAAACCTCCGGGAAACCTTTTATCTAAAAAAGCTCATGCTGTTGAACGAGAATTTAAAATACTTGATGCGTTAGGCCGTAATACTGATGTACCTGTGCCAAAAGTGTACTTTCTTTGTGAGGATGATGAAATATTAGAAACTCCATTTTATGTAAGGGGTTTTAAGTAATCACGAAATAAACAAATATAAATTGATAACAAATATAACAATATAATTGACTTAATTACTTTTAATATTTCAGATAATGGAATACTTGAATGGAAGGATTTTTGGATATGACGAGTTTTTGTTACTTCCTATTGAAGAACACAGACAATGGTAATTAACAAAATAATATTAATATTGAATTAATAATATTATTATCGACAGATTTTATAAATTCTTCCATTTTAATCAGTTGGTATTCAGCCATTTACACCCTTGTAAAACTTCACTCGGTTGATTACAAGTCCATAGGACTTGAGAATTATGGAAATCCATCAGGATTTTATTCCCGACAAATTCATTCATTGTTCAAAGTTTCAGAAGCTCAGGCTGCTACAATTGATGATGAAAATAATAAAGTAGGCTCTCTTCCAAGACTCAATGACATGATCCAATGGTTTAAAAATAATGAAATTTCGGATGATACGTCTATTATTCATGGGGATTTTAAGGTAGATTATTACTTAGAATTTATTAACTGGATTGTATTTAGAAGTACTGAATAATTTATATTTTGAAATTTATAACGTAGATTGATAATTTAGTAAGTCACGAAAATACACCATTTTTTATAAATTTCTATCCAATTATATTTTCATATTACAAATAAATTATATCAATAATTTAAAAAAGGTCTTTCATCCAACCGAGTCACGAGTTATTGGAATATTAGATTGGGAACTTTCAACTATAGGCCATCCACTTTCTGATCTTGCAAACTTGTTAATGAATTTTTTTACTAAGGAAATTCCTGGTTCCCCTCTAATTGGTTTACGTGATGTTAAAAATTTACCAATTCCATCAACTGAGTTAATTCAAGCTTATTGTGAAAAATCTGGCCGACAGTATCCAATACCGCGTTTTGAATTTGCTATTGCGTTTTCATTTTTTCGGGTATTAATTTTGGTGTATTCTTTTGAATTTTATAAAAAAAATTGCCATTAAGTTTATTTTTACCTTGTTAGACTGCTGTTATTTTACAGGGAATTGCCGCACGTATAGCCCGTAAACAAGCTAGTTCTGCTAAAGCACATACTTATGCTAAACTTTTTAAAAATGTTGCTTTAATGGGTCTCGAAATTATTGATCAGTCTGCTGTCAAGAGCAAAGTATAATTTTTGTTTTAAACGTTAGTTTTATTGTCAATTTTAGAGCTTCAAGATATTAAATATGAATTTTAACGCCAATAACGTTTATATTACTAAACACCAAAATACGGGAAGTCTTGGTACAGTAAACGACTATTGTTAAATGTGCTATTAGCGAAATGGTTGTCAGTAAATCCATTGGAACCAAATGTTACAATATTTATATATTGTATGTCTTGTAATTATATCAGGCGGACTTTTTATCTTGATTAACTTGTATTTTATGAGCATTAATCAAATTTCTAGGTAAACTACTTATTTAGCATCTCATTTAGACTATTTAATAACGCTTGATTCTTTAAATTTATCTCTATATCAATATAATAATAAAAGATTTCGAGGCTAAGTAGTATTGTTCATTGTTTGGAAAAATCTAATATGTATCTAGGATATGAAAGCACCACAGCTAAAGATAGCTTTGGGACATTGGTTTTGTCAAAGATTCTGTAATAATTATATGTCTACAAATAATAAGTATCTATAAAATATCAAAATATTTGTTTATTTAATAGTTTGAAGGTTTATATTAGTAGATATATATGTCAATAGAAATCAAGTAGACTAACATTTTAAAAAAAACAAATTGCTTTTATAAAAAATTAAATCAACAAAATAATTTTGTTATTTGTAAATATATTATATTATATATAGCTATATATATTATTTGTTTAAATAAAGATTATTAATAAAGTTTTTGAGATATTAATTTGGGCTTGAGTTTGGGATTTGGGCGGCAAGTATAGTCTTAACTTTCACTGCTCATATCTCGATAAATTTCGAAGCTATCCTCATGATTAATGGTCAAAGGAAATCATAAGATCTAAGATTTCTTGTGACTATTAAATCATGAGAATAGCTTCGAGATATGAGCAGTGAAAGTTAAGCCATTAATTTTTTTTAAAATGTCAATTTGCTTGATCTCTATTGATGGCAGCCCATATAATTATTTCAAGGCCTTTGCACAAAGCCAATGTTCCAATCTATCTTTTGCTGTAGTATCCTGTATATTGCTAACTTTTTTGGCTGTAAGTTTTACTAACTTTGTACTTTATACTTATCCACAAAATTAAATATCTGATATTTTGGTAGACAAGTTTTCACATAATGTTTTATTACAAATCCTAAATCACTAATATATATAAATCTCTGGAATATGTTTCAATTATAAAGAAAAAATATTATCAAATTTTAAGCTATCATAACATAATTCCAATGTATATATTGTTTGAGTTTAACAATAATAAACCAATTTGCTTAAGCACCATTAAAGCTTGTTTATATCGCTATTAAAATTTGTTATTATTAAAAGAATTTTAATAGGTTTTTTGTCGAGTAAATCTTAAACTTACATAAAGCTAAAAGACAAAATTTAAGCAAATATTACTAGTATAATTACAAATTGAATATGTAATTTAGTTAATGATAATGAATTTAGATTGTTAACCTATAGTAAATTTTAAATATATTATTTAGTATATCCGGCCAATTTAAAGTTATTTGAGGATTGAGTATTTTGACGAATAACCTCATTCACTACAAGTATAAATATATCTCACTCATCGCGTCATCATACACATTTTACTGTATTATTCTGATAAAGATACATATCACTCTTCATAATGAAGTTTTTGGACTGAAAAAAACCTTCACTATAGCTCATAACAAGCGAATAATATATGTGCTTCACTATATCGAGTTGAATTTTAATAATTCTGTTTTGTAAAATTCTTCACTATATCGGGAGTTCACTATAGAGAGTGATATGTACTTCATGACTCAGAGGTCAGATTATACATTATTCGACTCCCTAGCGAAGTAATCGAATGATGCGAAGGTTGTTCAGATTCTATCACTGAGACTCATAGACAGAAGTTTGTCTGATTGGTTAATAAATTCAATTTAATTTTACATCATTTATACAGTTTTAGAGTACTTTTTAAAAAAACGAAAACTAATCATAATGAAATAAAAAAACCTGTATAGAAGGTTTCAACTTATTACTAAGCTAATTTTTTTAAACGGACGAAAATTAGATCTTATTTTTGACTATGAAGTCCTACAGCTCTAATGAAACTTTTCATAAGGTTTTTTTTTATTTCATTATGATTAGTTTTCGTTTTTTTAAAAAGTACTATAAACTGTATAAATAATGTAAAATTAAATTGAATTTATTAGCCAATCCGACGAACTTCTGCCTATGACACTGAGACATGTATATCCTTGATCGTTATCACACACTTATTATCGAATTCATTCCAAGTTGAGCATGAGTTGTTCGATATATGAAATGCATTAAATAATTGGACATCTAAGATTTTATACATCAAAATTCAAGGTACCATAATGAATGGGCTAACCTCGATCAGAATACTTCTCTTCATTTTAATAAATGTTTTCCAAAAAAAAGAATAACTAACTACCTTAAAAACAAGAATAACTAACTATCTTAAAAACTATAAAGAATTTTAAATTATAAAAATTTTGAACTTTAATAAATATGGAACTAGGTATTGAATCCGGAACTCCTTCTAAATGTAGGGAACGTCGCATTAACAGTAGTTTGTAATGTATTCTGTAAAGTAGATGTTACAGTGTTTGCAAAGTTAGCACCCAAATCACGAGCCACTGCGCCAGCACCACTCGTCGAAATTGTTGCTATCGTTCCGGAACGTTTCTTAAGTTTATTTGCTTCGTTATACGCAGATACTATTTCTGATATGTTTGTTTCCAGTACCTTCAATTGTAAAATAATATTTTTAGTGTCACTTGTGGAGAAAATACCTTTAGATAATACATACCATTCCTCCCGAAACTACTTCTGAAAGAATATGATGAACCTAATTAAATAAAATTAATATAAATCAATCGGAACCTTTATTATTAGTTATATAAGTTATCTGTAAAGATTCTTACCTCTTCAAAATGAAATATCTTAATGAGTGATATAAATTTATATGATAAAATTAATTATTTGGTCTTTACTAAATTCATATTTGAAAATGGTTTACGTAACTCACCAAATCTAGTTCGCACACGTTTTCAAAACATCGATCCAAACTTTCAACGAACACCTAGATTAGTATACATATATCTAAAGACATTTACTAAACACATAAAATGATTTAATAAACCAAACAATAAGATGTTATTTTTTAAAAAACAAACCTGAATTAAATCCAAAATTCCCAATTCGCTTTCACTTTCATCAACCACAAAAACGAAATATAAAGTTGCATAATGTCTATAAATAATACGAGTATCTTTTCCACCGAGCATTTGACTCCCTTCAAGAAAATTACAGGCCGTATCTGGACGTTTTGAGACTAATGAATATATTTCTTGAAGTAATGCTTGCTGTGTTCCAATATCCTTATAATGACAAAAACGTTGAAATAAAATTATAAAAAGCGTTGTTATTTCAAAAAATAAAGCAAGCTTACTATCTGTTGATAGAATTTTGTGATACGAGGTTTTCCATGGTTATTAAAAATAAGAACAGATTTAATCATTTTATTGAAATTTACAATTTTTCTAACATGAAGTTTAAATATATGTGGATACCAATATTCAAATGATATTGAAACACGTGAGTGACAAATATAAATATGTACTACAAAGTTTACGTTTAGCGTTAGACAACCTATTTTTTTCACATTTTGATTGGACGAAATCAACAAAACTTCAACGAAGATATCTCGATAACCATCTATTTAAATCCGATAAATTTTTTTATTTAATTTCTATAAAACTGTATAATTAAACCAAAAAATGTTTCATCAGTTTGGATAGGTAATCGTTGAGATATCTTAGGTAACTCAAGACGCGACACATTTTTTTCTCCCATGGCTTTGGCAGCAGTGTTGGGCTCTGGACCAAAGGTCCGCTCTACTGGACTTATAAACTGGACCACTGGACTTATAAGCAAGCCCAACACTGTAGTGTTGTAAGCCGATATGCAGCTAGCGACTCAGTCGGCTTAGCCGACCCCTGATCGACTTAGGCGACCAAGTGACAAAACTAAAAATTATTAATCAAAGTTTAATTATTGTCTCTTAAAATTTTTCATTGGGTAATTTGCCTATTTTTTATAAAAAATATGCATGAGATAATGTAAGTCGCTCTAACCATAAAGTAATAATATCCCCTTAATGACTTAGTTGACTTAGCCGATGACTCAGACTAACTATTGGTAGGACACAGGATCGATTTTCCGTTCACGTGATTTGCCGAGGTCAATAGTCTTTGCACATTTATGTTAGAGTTCGTGTGTATTTTAGGGTTAGAATGGGTTGCCTAATAATAAAACTGCAGGTGCAATTTTTTTTATTAGAACCCCAAAGGCGGTTTATGATAAAAGTTCCGAGATAAACGTGATTTTTGCAAAGCGAACATTTGTTTGTGGGCCTATCATATGATTATAAATCTGAATCATATCGATATGTAATTAGAGTACATTGATTGACTATTTCTTTTATTAACCCAGTAATTATATTTTAGGTTTTAGAGAATATACTAGATATTTTAAAAGCCAAAATACAGTCTTTATTTTATGTGATCTTTTATATTGAGATCTATGCCAGTATATAAATAATCATAGTAATCTTAATATAAAGATCATTTAAAAAATAAAACCTTCATCATTAATATTAAAAATAAAAAATAAAAACTTGTGTTTTTGAACTTTCGAAATATCTGATGTACCAACACAGCATATATGTAACTTAATGCATAACAAAGTGGCCAGTATTAAACTAATAAATACAGTATAGCTAGCATTAAAGTTAGTGTTAGTGTTAGGTTATAGCCTTTTAGTTGCTTATACGTATATCTTATAATTTTAAATTTTATATTATATTGATTATATTTCGAGACTTGTTAATGCCACCCCTTATTTTTGTTAATGTCACTCCTTACATAATCTAACCCTAATTAATAATTAGGATTTGAAATGTCGGAGATTAAATATTTTATATAAAGCATTAACAAATCTCTATATTTAGGGCACAAATTTTTTCCCGTGCCCACAGCCCTATACATCAAATCCTGATTTCTGATTGGACAATTTATCTCGGAATCACATGAATGGAAACAAACCAAGAAAATTGAGAAATTTAAAGTTCTGTTCCCAACATTTTTAGTGCACCAAGGTCTATGTTGAAATAATGTCTCAGATGTAAGTTGAAAATTTGACCCAAATTAAGCTTAATTTGGCCTAAATCACAGCTATGTTTGTAATTTCAGCATAATATATAAAATTACAAAATTGTGTACATGAGTATATGTATAGTAGCCAACAAAAGTAAAATCTGATTTTTGATCAAAAAATAAAACTTTTATTATTTAATTTTGGTCACAAATACATCAAAATTTTTTTTTATATTTATTTAATATTTTACTGAGTGATCTCCTATACTTGTGATAGTATTGATTCTTCATGTTATTGAGTCTGCAATGACACAAAGAATTAATGTATCTAAATTTGATCATGCTTCCTGTAAGGCTGTTTTAAGGTCAGATTTATTCCTTGAGAAGTTATCATGGTTCTAAATATTGTCCTTCATGATCTTTTAAATATTTTCTATAGTATTAAGTTCAGGAGATCATGAGAGTCAATTCATATAATCAATGTTTTTTGAATTTAACCAATCTGACACCTTATGAATCAGAGTATTATCATGCTGAAAAATCAGATGAAGGATGTTTAACAAACAAACTGTAGTTAAAAATGATATAAGATAGTCATTAAACATCTTGATATAAATGTTTTTATTAATTTTTTGTTTAGAACCTTTATAATCATCAAAAAATATCATAGAATCTTTAATGTTATCAATAAAACATAATCAAATTATAACTGAGACCCTTTCATTTCTAAAATTTGGTTACAAACACTTATGTTTGTATTTTTTATCTATACAATATTATATATGACTTGACAGAATTATTTACCTACTTTTATATTCATTTTATTTAAAAAAATGATATGTCTCCAATAATAAATATCTTTATTTTTATTCTGATTACACCATTTTATATGTTTTTTTATATTACTACTAGGCAAAAAGATTTCAAAGCAATGATGCAAGAATGAAATCCAATGTTGTATAAAATCCTAACTATAATCTGCATACTGTATTGAAGATTTAAATTCTTTATAATTTTGAATAGTGATACACATCTTTTCTTCAATGCTTTTTTTACTATGATGATCTTTTCTTGCTTCTTCAAGACAGAAAGATATCTGGACCAAGATAAATTCTTAATTTTTTTGATCCTCCTGTTTTTTTGTAAAAACCTTTGAACTGTTGTTAGGTCATGCTTAATCTTGTGAGCAACTTGTTTAACACTCATAGCACTAATATGAGCAAGGATCATTCCTTTCTCTTTTTCTGTATTTGTTTGCACAACATTTTTATTAAAAAAAAAAGTCTTTTGCATGTGCTTGGTTCCTTCGACGTCAAAGAAGTAAAAAATAAAAAACTTTGCCCAAAATTCGTTAGAATGGGTACGCACAGCCCTTTTATTTGCTCACGTGTGACGATCTGCAAATCGGGCGTTACTTTTGTTTGCAACTGTACATGACTTTTACATTAAATAGTTCGATGTCACTAAAGATTTTTCACCATTATTCACATAACAAATATTATATGTAATTTGACTTCAGAAACTTATACAAATTTACGACCGATATATGAAAGACATATGTTACATACAGTATATTACTTGATCTATATTATTATAAATGTCAACATGTTCAATGTTATTGAATTTTCGGTTGAATGTTTGGTGCATTTAGCTTATTTTAAAACTTATCGAAAAGCTTATGGGAAAGGTTAGGTATTGACAAGAAATGTATGTAAAAAGGTTCAGATATAAAATAGACATTTATAATAAACATATTACGCAAGTGCCGATATTAAAAGAGTTAGACATGGTCAAGAATTTTGTCGACTGGTTTAAAGATATGACTCAAAATTCCGTTCAAAAATCTTGAATTACTGTATTAATATATCCTAGAGATGTGCCTCTCGCGCGAATGCTGATGTCATAATAAATTGTTTATATTATCTCGCGCGAGAATCAATTGAATGACATCAGCATTTCACGCGAGAGGCACATCTCTAATATATCCATATCTTAGAAGGTACTTGAGAACTCATGCTACATCTAAGTGTTTGCAATTTTCGAAATGATAAGCTTTCTAAATTTTTTTTCAATTATTTGCCAGCGAAGATACTTCAAAAGCATCATAGTTCTGCATTTGATTTGGGATATTCGTATCGGTATAAATTTATATTAGTCACCTGATCTTAAATTACATAAGTGCGTAAAATTATAGAATCTATTACCGTTATGCCGAAATCCTAACATGATCATTCAGCTAGGTGTTTCAGGAATTATGATAATGCTGGCCAAAATTCGCTATTTCGAGATTTTACGGTAATTCGGGCCAAATTTTTTACCCTACACCCCGGGCGTTATTTTGAGGTAATACGGTACTCGATAAAATAAGTAAGCCGTCCTCTTATACCCGGGTCTATAGGGTTAAGAATTTGGTGGAATGTAAGAGATCGGGTATATTATCTGTTATACAGAAGAAGTACGTGGAAACCTATACCCCTGTGTATCCTCCATGTATAGTAAACCATCTAGCCAATCTAATTAAATTCAGATCAGGTGTAACATAAAATCACACTCAAACCCTAACACTAACCCTAATGCTGGTAGCAAATTTTTTTTAGATTGGTGATGCAGGTATAGATTTCTTAGTCGGTAGAATCGATAATAGTTTAGGGATTGATAAACACTTGACCACTTTTGCATTTCATTTAACTTTATTCAAATTTGTTTTTCAAAAAAATATGCATATTTTTTTTAGCAAGTTAATACCAAAGTGTATTCAAAAAGGCATTGTTACTGCTGTTCAGAAAAGACAGAAATGTCACCATGACATGTGACAATTTAGTGCTGGTAGTGTTCCTTAAATTTTCTTTATACGTACATACGTACTAACCGCCCCAAGGATATCAATATCAATCTATTTACAAAATCAATTTTGATTATGCATTCTCTGTTCAACTCTAGGTACAACCCCATTTTTGATACTATTGTTCAGATGTAATATAAATATCTGGTGAAATGTATCACGAAAAAGTGTTATTTTATTTTCAATTCGAAAGCGTGAAATTTTAACTTTTCGAAAGTTTAATTTATTTCTATATTAAATTAAATATGTGCGTACATAGTAGTAGCCGATATAATATGATCGACCGGCAATGCGGTTAAAGATCACATGATTATAAATGATAAAATTCTGAAGAGACAAGAGTTAAATTTTTCAAAAGATTCCGTAAGGTTGGTCGCTAGTCAGCCGTTTAGCCGATATTTTAGTTGGCTGGATTAGCTAGCCGACTAAACCATATAGCTTAATATACCACCACGTAGTTAATTAAATTACAATATTGTCACTTTCCTATGGCTAGGGTACTACTACTGTACTAAAAACCAGTTCAAATGTATTAAAACGATAATAAGTTGAAGCCGAACTGAATAAAACATAACCATTTCACATCCTTGTCAGTTCAAAGTCGGTTTAGAGTTTTCGACGGAACGCCGAAGATTTTACCTTTTTGGGGTTTGTCAATACGAATGCATGCAACCTAAGTTTTTTTTGAAGAATAACATCACAGATTGGTGTGAACTTTTTATCAATGTATGAATATGTTATATATTATATACCCTATATTTAGACTATATCCACTCCGCATTGGTTCTAACGTCATATGGATTGATTCATTGACGCAATTGTTAATTGTTAAAGAAAATTCACTATTGTAGTCTCCGAATGTTCGATCATTGTACACGGGCAATATTTGTCAAAGACTAGTTTATTATGTAATCGATTTTTATGCACTGACACAAGCAATTTTTTTCCAAATTGTTATCATGTGTTTTTATATTGTATAACATTTAAAAAATACATAATTCTGAGTACACTATTACATCTTGTAGTTTTGATTTTATCTTTTTAGAAATGCCTTCGGTGACATTGATAGCGGATACTTTGAGAGAAATTTTCGAATATCATAAAGATGATCCGAAAACCCTTCATAGTTTGATTACTGTTAATCGACTATGGTGTTGCCAGGCAATTCCCTTATTATGGCGCAGACCTTTCGAGATGGCTGCTCAAGATAAATACCATCAAATTATTAAAACCTACATAATGTGCCTTTCAGATAAAGCATTATCTAGATTTATGTTTGTTGGAATCAAATTGAACAATTTTAAAAAACCTTTTTTCAATTATCCAACATATTTGCAGGAATTTGACTCTGAAAGATTTCGTTTAGCACTTAATACATGGATAAGAATGAATGTCATAATTGGTACTGCAGTAGATACGCGAAGTCCATTTAACACATTCTGTGGACCTATAAAGAAACTTTTCGGTCCAATTGTGAAAGATTGTTATAAAATCTCTCCGCCAAATATATTTTACAAAGCGTTAAATAAATGCATCGAACCATTAATTCAGAATTACTATGCGACGCACCCAAACTTCAATGTAATTAAAGAGGTTACAGATTTACTTTTTAGCCGTTGTAACAGATTAAAGAATCTCAAAATTTATCTTGGAGATGAACACACACTGTCTCTAGCGGAAATGAACTTTGCTTTACTTACCATCAAACACAACGCCCTGCTTAATCTTCAAAAATTCGAATTGGTTATACGTACCCCTTCTTTGAATGGCGATAATTCGCAAGATATGAATGATGTCTTAACAAATCTCTTTACCATGATGTCTCAATACGCAACAAATATTCAGGAAATGAAAATTCAATCTTATACAACCGGATTGCCAGCTAAAGTTCATGCCAGCCTTTACAAATTAATTGAATCACAAAGAACACTTCAGTCATTTATGTCGAATTATTTCTGGAATGCTTCGAGTCCTTCACTTTTTACCGCTTTGTTAAATCAGTCACATTCATTAACTCGGTTTCGTCTCTGGGGTTTAACACATTTCAATAATTCTTTAATACTTGGACTATTAGAATGGAACGCCCTGGAAGTATTGGAATTGATGGGATGTCCAGATTTTCCTGTGTTCGCAAATTTTACAAAAGGCCAACTAAGAATCAGGAATCTCTATATTGGCAACGGTTACGGTTCATATCCTTTTATAACAACAAATTTAATCAGGATGATAAATTTGAATCTTCAAAAATTAGTGGTAGAAGGTGCAACTCCTGAAATTATAGATGCGGTTACAATAAATTGCCCACAACTTACACATTTATCGCTCTGTGCTTATCAAGACATATTTGAATCTCTTCCAAGATTACTTTCAACTCTTTCTTTGCTAGAAACATTGATTTTAGGAAATCAAGAACAATTTATATTTACAGATGACACTATATTACAATTTTCACAATCAATCCCACCTTCACTATGTGCATTATTTCTAAACTTTAATATTTCATCACAATCATTGAGAGTACTTTTAACAGAATGTTCAGCACCACTTCATAGGTTAGAATTACATCAAATGCAGAATAAGGAATTAGAATTGTTTTCTATTCTGATTCAATATACACAAGATAATAAGTATTTAAAAGAATTGAAGCTATATTTAGCTCATTCAAATAGTTATACAGACCCTGTTAGTCTAGATGTTTTGAGAAATGCAAATAAGTATTTTACTATCGTTAAACAAGACACTACTAGAAATTCTTATAATCTTTGGTGATATTCGACTTATCAGTTATTGAATGATGTAGTTATTTTTTGTCTTTTTTGTTATATAATTGGACCCATATTGAATTGTACATAAATTAATTTTTCAAAAAAAATGTAGAAAATAAATCCGTCTGTACAGAATAAATATCAGAGTTACACAAGCACAAATATTTTTATCTATAAAAATATATTTAATTTTAACTCCAATCTTTTAGCTTTCAAAATGGTTGTCGAATCAATTTCAATACCACCACTTCGTAGAACTTCTTTAAAAACCCCAATCATTCCTTTGACACCTGCAGAAGATAATCCAATTTCTCTCAAAGTTTCAAAAATTTTAATTTGCCCTATCGATGACGGTAAAACCAAATCTGCATTAGAAGCACTTTCGGAATTTTATACTTCAAATTCTGTAGCTGAACGTAGAAATTTGAAAGGGGATATTGAACAAAAAGCTATTGAAACCAACAGAAATTTTCTTGAGTTTTTTGGTAAAGTTACAGAGGTATTAATAATTGCTTAATGATATTTTTCAATAAATTAGTCTTTTATTTTATTACTTAATTCTATCTTCGGTGGTTATTTATTGTCTCAGCAATTAGCAGCTATAGAATCGGAAATTAAGAGCATGAACAATTTTTGTGATGAGATTAGTAAAAGTCTGGATTCCGCAAATCGTAAAACTGCATTATTATTGGAACAAAGCGATAGTCTAAAGTCACAACGGTATTCGTCTTAAACTAAAAAATAATATTGTACAGATATTTATAATACTTATTTAAACAATAATCATTCATTGTAGAGAAAGTTGTAAGACTCGCAAGATTTTGATAGACGCATTTTTGGAAAAATTTACACTCTCAGAAAAAGAGGTTGCAACCTTATCGTCTCCTGATTCAGAAATAGGTCCAGAGTTTTTTGAGGCATTGAAACATTTGCAACAAATTCACGGCGATTGTGATGCATTATTGATTACAGAAAATCAAAGAGCAGGGTAATTATTCAAATTATTTAATTTTCATTATATTATTATTCTCTGACTTTAATTTCTTATATAGGCTAGAAATTATGGAAAAAATGAATTCTTACCAAGAAACTGCTTTTGACAAATTATATCGATGGACTCAAACAGAATCTCGTTCTTTAGGCCGAGATACACAAGAAGTTCCTGTAACTTTGAAACTTGCGTTGAAAACGTTAAAACAACGACCTGTGCTATTTCAGTGGGTTCTATATTTTATTTAAATTTATATAATAAATTATAAGTTTAGCACTAATTAATAACCCTCGATTTTTTAAGGTCATGTCTTGAAGAACTCGTTTACATCCGAAGAAATTCAATAATACGCACATTCATGGATGCTTTAACTCGAGGTGGTCCTGGAGGTACTCCCCGTCCAATAGAATTACATGCACATGATCCTTTACGTTATGTAGGTGATATGCTGGCTTGGATTCATCAGACAGTTGCTAACGAAAGAGAATTTTTGGAAAGCTTATTCGAGGTTAAAAGTAATTCTTATTCATATTTTCAACATTTATTGCCTAATTTTGGTGATATCCTAAAACTTAATTTAAATATACAAAGATTGAAAATGATTATTCGAATGTTGAAGGTTTGGAAAAAGAAAGCGATGACATCGTTATTCAGGATTTGTTAGATCGTGATATTGATGGGACATGTCGCCCATTAAAGGTACAGATCACTTTATTGCCAGTTTATTCTCTAGATGCATATATTACATTTTTTTATTACTATATAGACACGTGTTGAACAAGTCTTGGGCTCACAACCTGGAGCCATAACAGGATATAGGATTTTAAATTTGATTCAATTTTATAAAATTACAATTGCAAGAATTTTAGGCCCTAATGCTGCCTTGTCTATGGTACTTAAAGAGTATGTAATCCCTATAATAGTTTTACTCGGTTATGAAATATGGGAAATAATAATATTTTTGGATTAATATTTTATATGAATTTTGCAGCATTACGGATTCGGCAACAAAAGTATTTTTCAATACACTTAATATGCAAGCTGAACAACTATTGCGTTATAGACAGGTATTGAAAAATTAATAAATTTCCAATTCAGAATATTACATCGATTTTGATTTCAATAAATTTTATTATAGACCCCAGGTGCAGAGTTAATGCAACCACCTGCAGTGAAAGAAACTGTATTGCAGTTGGTAATGTATCTTATAACAATGAAATTAATTTATTTACGCGTTAATTTATAATGCCTTTAATAAAACCTGCAGAAAGAAATAATGGCATCATATGAAACATCTTTGGTCACTGCTACAGAACGTGAAGATGGTTTCCGCACAATTTTAGATACTATATTAGACCCTTTGTTTCAAATGTGTGAACTGGGTGCAAATGATTTATCAAAATTTGATAAAGCAATTTACATGATCAACTGCCTTCACTATGTACAAGTAAATTAATATGTTTTTTAAATATGTCAATATTCTTTACACTGGTAAACGAATAGCAATGATTTAGGATATTTTTATATTTACTAGTCATCTTTAACTCCATACTCATTTACTCATGGTAGAGTTATGTCACTAGAGAGACAAATTGAGGAAAACATGGAAATTTTAGTAGATGGGCAGGTATGTAAAAGTGTTACACGGTTGATTGAACATAAACTAATTCGTATATTTAATGTTTAGTATGCAAATCTTTTAAACCAATCCGGATTAGGACCAATCGTCCAGATTATGGAAACGAAGGATGAAAACGTTCGTAAAACTTATCAGTTTAATTTATTGCAAATAACATTACTTTTTTTTTTGCTTATTATTATTAATTTAGACGCCATTATCGCTATACCCAAATATGGATACCAATTCGCTAACAAATACAATGGCGAGACTTGATTCATTTTTGTCGTTAGCCGATACAGATACATTCAGATTACAAGGACATCCACAGCCATTGGTAAAAAAAGTTAATCGAAGAGTAATGAAGATGTTTGTTGAAGCTTATAGAAGAATCAGTGATGCTATAAAAGATCCAAGAAATAGATATGAATTTCCCGCAACTATTCTAGCTAGAACTGTTGATGAAGTTGAAAATCTCTTAATGGTTGATAATGAATAAATTTTTTGACATTTCAGTTATAACAGGGTTTATGTAGTGGGTAGAATCACTTATTTAATAAGTTTTTATAAAGGTATGTAAATATATTAAGTACTTTAAAAACCGTTGAAATAATAATAACTCTGAATTATTATCTTTAATATAGCATCATTAAATCACCATTTTGAAAACACAATACTGATTATCGCTATAATATTAGATTACAATTTACATATAGTATTTAACTAGAATAATAGAAGTTTAAACCATTTCCGTTTATTTCAGTAAAACATACTTAATTACCAAGTAAATAGTCAAACACTGGAAAAGTTATTAGGAATTTCGTAGATTTTTATTCAATTTTCTCTCATAGGATTAGTGTTTTTAATAAAGAAACTTAGCATACTTTATCCATTCAAAAAACTGTCGATAATTACTGGATAGTCTGCCGGTTTTTTTACGAGTATTCACGATAGTGAATTAATGCATTTATTTAAAACATTTAATATCATTGATAATTAGTTTTGTATCTAGAACATAAGTAGGATCGCTTCCCTTGATTGTTCACTTGGCATTCTTTGCATAAGCTTTGAGATTTAGCAAATGACCACTGCTTCCAAAGTGTTCAAAGTATCGTGGGTTTCGGAAAAAATGTTCTTCGATCAAATCTCTAATACTTTCGCTACACCACTTGCCCAGTACATTACCAAATGAATATATAGCCAATTCATGTCTTGAAAAAACTGAAATAAAGTTTATTGTTAAATTTAGAGTTAATACTTGGATCCGAATCCTGGTATCAGAGAAACTTGTTATAGCAGAAATCAAGATAGTAAGTACCAATATTGGTAAGAGGGTTTTTAATTAGGTTAGTAAAATTTGTATGAAGTTCAATTTCATATTAGATAGCAATATTATTAGAGGATGTTCAAGAAACATAGAATTATTTGGTATAGGTTTAAGAGTAATGTTTGATTTAAGCTCCTCAAAAGAGTGAGATAAAATAATGTTTGAGAAAGATAAGTTATCTTCTATAGAGTTGCTCATCATATGTTTAGCTTGCACAGTTGCAAAAGATATCATAACTTGTTCTATATATTAGGTATAGTTATCATTAACTTGATTCTTTATATATTGTTTCTTTTATTTTTTTTATTTTTTATTTTGTATTAAAGTTTCTGCCTTTAGGAAGAGATTTTATTCAAGTTTATAGAATATAGATGCCTTCAAGGGTTTTCTTATATAGGAGGTTATAGCTAACTACATATGCATTTTTGGTAATTAATTCTTTTTTTTTTTTTTTTTAGTTAAAGTTCTTGTCTATAGGGATCGATGTTTTTATTCATGTATTTGAACATGGGCACCTTCAGGGGCTTCCTTACATTGAAGGTTACAACTAGCCACACATGCAATTTTGATGCTTAATTTAAGTAGTCCACCTATATATTACTATACAGGTTCTACACTAGGTGTCATACTTGCAAGCCAACTACAGGTCTTGTCTATTTAAACCTTCTGCATATGCAGTCCATTATGTCTTACAGTGACATCTTCAAGGTTACACTTATCCAAAGTACTCAATGCTTTCGAGGCTTCTTAGAGTTAGTTTATCTTTAATAAGAAACTTACTAGAATCTTTTATGTCTTACACATAGCTGACCTAGTTTTATGTAACTCATTATAGTTGCTTAATACTTGCAGTCACAGTAATTACCTATTTAACTACAATATTGTATTATTTTTATTCTTGTAAAGTTCACTAGAACCCTAGTACCTATCATTGTAATGTCTTCTCTATTATCTTCTACTAATTATTACTCAGGACTGACAAGACTTTTTCAACTTTTAATTTTATATGATATACTTATATATCTTTTTTTTTCTAGTAATTCTGATGACCTGGTTAGTCATATGCTTCTCTATATATCTTGTCATTCAGTTTATCTACCTATTCCTTTGAAAATGTTTCATGAATTTTCATCAGTCTTATTGTATCATCAAAAGTTCATACTATCTTTTTGTTTAGAAATTTTCAAATAGATTTCTGACTCTTCAGTTTCTTAGTTTACTGTATCTGGTAGTCTTATCATAGGTTTGCATCAAAGTCTTATATGACACAAGTTATACATTTCTCTATTTATGTATAACATTACATTTTGCATAAATGCCTTGAGCTCTTATTCAAGATAATGTAACTTAAGATTACAGATATACTAATCCAACTAATCATCAAAAGACAGTTTGTTATAATATAGATATAATTTTTCAAATTTTATTGTAGGTAGAATTTGAACACTAGATCTGTTACTTGAAGGATGACAACCTAACTAGTACATTATAATCATTATTTCTGGTAATTAAATTTTTTTTTTTAATATTAACGGTGAGGCCATGCCTTTAACTTTATTGAAATTCAATTGAAGTTTTTACAAAGAAAAG